GCTTCAGGCGTAATTTCTGTGTTGCCTTTCTTTGTTACATTTAATATAACTGGTGCAGAATTTAGATCAAACGTGGGGAATGTACAAAAACACTGATTCCTTCTGGATCAGTAGGTATGGATGTGCATTTCTCTTTGCTAGGACTTGGATATCTGTATGTGGACACAAATGTGCACCATATCATGCAAGAATCAGGGTACTTAAATCTGTCTGCATGATTTTGGAAAGCAGTGGAACCTTAGTTTGTTAGTACAAATTGCTAGAGATGTATTTTTGCTGATGCTGAATTTTGAGCAGCAAAATGGGAAAGTGGGTTGAAAAGATTTCTTGCTGCTTTCATTCCCACTCTCCTACAGAAAGTTCTGAAAAAAACCCCATCCATAATGCCATTAACAGGAAAAGGTTTTAAAAAAAAAAAAAAAAAAAAGTAGAAGCATTTGGGGGTGCTGGGAATGCTGTGTTGGAGCCACACAGTAGTTAATTTAAGGTGGCTCAGTAAAATGCTGCTAAGTGTGGAAGAGCTGCCTTGTCCGTACAGGGAACCTCTTGATGTTTGTGATTGATTGCATTGCCCAAATGTTGAAATATTAATGACCTTCTTGGACTGAGGACCCAAAGAGGAAACTGAAACCAATTCTGTCATCACAATTAAAGAGTCCCCTGGCTTTAATTAGCCTGACCTGGGGTATCTCTACCCATTGCTGCAGTTAAAGAGAAAAGAGCCCATTAAAGTCCAGTCTGAGACCGATAGCTACTTAATTGAGCACCTAAAGCCTCAAGCCTTTTAAATCAAATACTGTCCTGGACAGTCCCCCTGGTTAGATAATTAGCTCTCCAGCTTCCCAGAAACCATGCAAAACAACTTTTTCAGTAAAGAATAGTTAATGTGGAAGACTTCCTTTGCTGGTAAGGAGAAATAACTTTTTTTTTAAAAGATAAAACCTTTTCCTGTTAATGGCATTACAGAGCAAAACCATTCATAACAGTAGAGAAGGAAAAAATAACTTTAATTTTCTTGGTAAATAATAATAAGCAGTGGAAAGGTGTTCTGAGCTTGTAATTCTTTCCTGATTTTAAGGAATTTTAGCAGAAGATTCAGCTGAAGTGGCTTCCCAAAGTAGTGTCGTTCTGGGAACATGCCTAGGGAAAACTTAAGATGTGTGTAAAGCCTCGGGATTAGTTTGACTCCATTTATTAGAATTCACAGACATTCAAGGTGTGGGACCACTAGTTCAGAGAGAATAGTATAACCAATGAATGCTTAATGAAGACAAGTAGTGCAATGAGATCAGCATTTTGAAAGCTGTGTTTTCAGTTGGGTGGTGCAATTGTACAGGGGGAAGAAGGGGGTTGTGAGACAGCTCACCACATTCAGATTCTCCTGAGCAGCTGACATCATCTGTCCATCTTTGCCCTTCTACCCAGCAATGCCCTTGCTACCACCCCTTCGCTCTAGGTTGTTGGATCTTTGCTCCAGAAATGTAACAGTGCCTTTCTACCTCCTCTCACAGCCCTTCCTGTGCACTGTCTCTGGTGCCAACTTCATTACTCCTAACGATGAGGGAAGAAAAATGCATATTGCGATGCTTTGGAAGTAACCTCGGTATATCATGTAACTATTCGGAACGGGTCCTGGTTTGGAAGATGCCCTAATAATGGACCTTTAGTTTCCAGACAGTTTAGTCCATTTGGCGGGAGGTCCTGACAATGTATTAGTTCAGCTTTCCTTTTGTAACCGCTGTGATTCTGCAGGAACGTGTCAATGTGTCGTGGATCTCAGACTAATTAGTTTTGAAATGGAGTTTTGATTGAACTCTTCAAATCGATGCTGCTGCAAAATTTGTTTCTCAGCTTCCTATTAAAAGCCATCTTAAGGGGCAGTTTTACTACTCTCTCTGTCGTTCAGTCGATACATTTAATAACAACTTACAGGCTATTTTCAATAAAGTGGCGACAGCAAATTAGTAGTTTGAACATGACAAGCCTCCTCTGCAAGCTCAGATTCTGAAAATTCAAAGCAATTATTTTTATACAGAGGCACACTGCAATCATTCAGATTACGGGTATTCTGTTGTAATGCGTGTCCTAGGTTGACACAAACAGAATTTTATGACTTTATTTGGACAGGAAGGAGATGCAAATATTAATATTTATTATGACACCAATACGCTAATTTGTAAATCCTATCACTATGTTTTACATCGTGCAGAAAAGTGGGTCTGTGACCCTGCCAGCTAGTTCAGTTTCCTTTTTTACTGGAAAATGAATTGTGGTAGTCTTTATAAATATTTGTGTCTATTAGAGACTCGTGCAAAAGCAAATAAAGGTTTTTCTAATTCTAGCAAAGGCAGCCTGTAAAAGTAGAACTCAATAATCATTACTGTATTATATTTTGAATCGATGCATTGTGCCTTTAAAAGGATTTGAAGAATTATGTATATATTTTTCTTCACCACTCTTCTGCCTATTCCCCCCTCCCCCCACTGCGTGTGCCCCCCCC